TTCCCTTAAAGGGGCCGCGGAGTCGTGGTCGGCATGCGAGGATGGGTGGGTCCCCGGCGTGTGCAAGGAGGCTGCACGCAGCGGGACGATGAGAGGCGTCCTTCGGGGTGGTGGTTCGTCTGCAGCTTGAACGCTGACCTCAGCGCGGAGGCGGAGCCTTCTCGGACACGCCCCCTTTCCCTTAAAGGGGCCGCGGAGTCGTCGTCGGCATGCGAGGATGGGTGGGTCCCCGGCGTGTGCAGGGAGGCTGCACGCAGCGGGACGTTGAGAGGCGTCCTTGGGGTGGTGGTTCGTCTGCAGCTTGAACGGATGCACGTGTGCATACGTGGGCCACCCCGGTGGGTGGGTGGGTGGAGACTCAGGACAAAGTTGCGTCAAATAATACTAAAAATAGCCAAATCTCTGGAGGACTCGCTATGTGTAAATGATCTATGCCAGGGGCTTAGGTGGAGAGCAAATGTTTTTGAGATGAGGGCAAGGAATGTACAAATGTGCTTTACACAATTGATGCATGTATGGCGATAAGAGTTGTGTGAGCCCCTAATAAAATGGTTTTTTAAAAAATGATCTTCTAAGTGCTAACTAACCTGCCCACAACAATCCAATCAGAAAGGTAATATGACAGTCCCCGAGTTGCAGGTGAGGAAAGAAAGACAGGCGAGGGTAACAGACTTGCCCAAGAGCCACAGCTAAGATGGGAGGAAACAGATTCGTAACCTGGCAGTCTTCAGTGTCACCCAGTGCATGTTTGCAGCCCCTGCTGTCCCCAAGCCTCCAGCTTTTGTTGGGAGATTGAACACAGGTGCGATTCAGCTCTCTGAATGCAGCGTCAACCGGGCAGGGGTAGTGAGGAGAACGAACCCAGGCAATTGAGTGAAAAGGGCATTCGTAGGTGAAATGCAGGCCTCCGGGGATAATGTCTAACATAATTTCATGTTATGTCTTAGCCTGACAGAATATGGGTGGTGAGGGGTGTAGCAGCGAAGACTTCCTGGAGGAAGAGGTTCTAAGCTGAGATTCCACTCAAAACCACCGCCATCAAGTGGATGCCAACTCAGAGTGACCTCTAGGACAGGGTAGGACTGCCCCAGTGAGCTTCCGAGACTTGACTGTTCATAGGAGTAGAAAGCCCCGTCTGGCTCAGGCCAGACTGGTGGTTTTCAACTGCTGACCTTGCAGTTAGCAGCCCAACCTGTAACCACTCTGCCACCGGGGCTTCTCAAAGGGGGTTGGTTGGGAGAGAAAAACGTCCAGGCAGAGTGGAAAGCCTGCTAAGGCTGGAGGTGTGAGGAGGAGCACCGTGTATTTGGGGAACTGGAAAAAACTGCCAAGAAGTGTTGGAGAGCTGGGACTAGATAGTAAAATTCCTAGTGGGTGGTAAGAACGTTTCTGAAGACCACCCTAAGGGCTCATCCTGTGGGAAACAACCAGAAGAGAGTGTATTCTGACAAACCCAACGTTCCTACGGTAAGGAGAGGTAAGGAGACTGGGAGGTCAAGGCTCCCCAGGAGGAAACCTTCACGTTCGTGGTCGAGATGCATCCTACTCACATTCTCCTAAGGAAAAGTTATTCCCCATGACGTCCCCCCATCATAATCAAAGGTGCTGTTTGCAAACACAGGGTCACTGACTATAAACTTGGAGGTCAACTGCTTGAAGGTTATCTGCCTGAAGGCTGTCAGCCATCTAAGGCAATCAGACCCTATTGTCTGTCACACCCTAAATAGGGCCCACTCCCTTCTGATAAGGATAACGGGTGTGTTCCCCTGAGGGAGAGCTCAAAAACACCTAAGGTCAAGCCAATATAGGGAAGACCAAGGTTAGGCTGCCACCTTGACTCTGGAGTGCGCCTATCCTGTGTGTACCTTCCTGTCACATGTATGCCCCTAGTGCCTCCCCTTCCTATTGCATGTACACCCGTAGCTTGTCCCCTCCTGTTGTTGTGTGCCTATTGTATAACCCCTTCCTGTTACATATGTGCTTACCGTGGCCTGAGTGCCCGAGATTAGATAAACTGGTGAGATTATATTACGCCTCTTGCTCTTGAAGTCATAACTGTGAAGGTGAGCCCTTGCATGCTTGATCTTGCCTGATGTCACTTTAATTCACCCCTCAATTACACAACCGCCCCCTTGGACCCATTTAGTTGTGGGGAGGCTGGTGGTCCCCCACATCATCCTCAGGGGGTTAAGTGGTGGTGTGAGCAGTTTTGATGTGGAAAACCTCACTCTGGTTGCTGGGTGGCGAGGGAGTACAGGGGGGTGGAGCAGAAGCAGAGCGACAGGTAGGAGGCTGCTGTAGAAGTCCAGGTGGACAGAGCCTGTGGTGATGGAAGGGGCGAGAAGGAAGGATTCAGCAGTCACCCAGGAGATGGTTGGCTAAGAGAGGAGAGTGAGGAAGGCAGAGTGAAGGACCACAGGATTTTGGCCAAGCGGCCCTCGACGGACAGTCCTGCCTTCCCTGAGCACCGAGAAGGCAGGCTTGCTGAGGAGATTCTCAGCAGAAGGACCGGCGGTCCAAAGGGTCGGCTTCATTCCCAGCTCTTCGTTTTGGGTGGTAGTGAGGCTGATGCTGAGAAGCGATGGTGGAGAAACGGGGCATTAGAACCAGGAGACTATCAGGGGTGACACTGCACTCCCTGGCTTACAGAGCTAGAGCTGAGCACCCTAGGGCTGGGGCTTGCTGTGGAATGGGGTGCCTGTGGGTACTTATGAGCACAGCAAAAACGGCCTGGCAACACTTGCCTGGGCAGGGTGGAGGCCAGGCTGAAGGACCTGGGCCAGAGACAGGCTGCGTCTGCAGGTAAAATGGAGAAGAAACTGTCCTGACCAAACAACTGTATCTTGAGTCCCTCCTGAACCTGAGACTCCCGGAACAAGCCCCACAGCTCTGAGTCTGACCTGTGAGTTCTGCGTGGCCCATGCGAGAACTACCAAACCCACCAGGGACACGGTGCTGTGAGAGGGATGCTTGGCGTCAGAATTGATCCCAAGTTTGGAGGTTGGAGGCTGGTGGCGTGTTTGACCTCAGAGAACTCCGTCTTGGCTGTTGATGCTAATCATGATTCTTTTACCCTCTTCCAATTAGCCTCAGCCTCTGCCATTTTTACAGTCAAGGGCGGTGGGCATTAGAGGGGTGGGTGCAAGGGGACCTCCTGGAAAAAGGTGCCTTCCTCGTCAACGCGGGTTCGGCCGTCACCAGATGTGCTGCTCTTGCTACACGTCTCTTCTTTGTGCAGCCTGACAGAGCAGACCTCAGCCCTCCCGGCTTCTCCCTCCACGTGTCAATGTGCGTTTTAGAAACAAGGAGATTTTCTTACAAATCCACAATGCCACAGTCCAAAACCAGACACCAAACTCCAAACCCACCGACGGATACTGAGCTGATTGCGACTCCTAGTGACTGTGTGGTAGAACTGCACCATAGGGTTCCCGGGGCTGGCAATCTTTATGGAAACAGACAGCCGCATCTCTCTCTCCTGCAGCAGCTGGTGGGCTTGAAGCACCGAGCTTCAGGTTAGCGGCCTAATGCTTAACCTGAGGCACCACCAGGGCGCCTATGCCAGGATCAACCTTTGCAAAATTAATAAGAATTTCTTTTTTGAACAGTTTTATTGGCATTTAATTCACATATCTTACAATTCAATAGTTCAGTTACATCAAGAAGAGTTGAACAGTCATCACCACAGTCAGTTTTAGAACATTTTCTTCATGCTTTTAAAAAAAATCATTTTGTTGGGGGCTCTTACAAATCTTAGGACTATCCATCATTCAATTGTACTAAGCACACTTGTACACATGTTGTCATCAACATTTTCAAAACATTTGCTTTCTACTTGAGTCCTTGGTATCAGCTCTTCTCCCTCCATGAATCCTTGATCAATGGTATATTATTGTTGTTATTTTTGTCTTACACTGTCCGTTGTCTCCTTTCACCCACATTGCTGCCATTTGTCTCCTTTGGGGAGGGGGGCTATGTATCTAACCTTGGGATGGGTTCCTCCTTTCTCCCCCTCTCTTGTCCCCACCACCCCTCTATTCTCATGATCTCACTGCTCCCACTACTGTTCCTGAGGGGTTTATCTGTCCTGAATTCCATGTGTTTTCAGAGCTCTTATCTGTACCAATGTGTGTTCTTGGGTCTAGCCAGATTTGTAAGGTAGAACTGGGTCCTGGTAGTGGTGGGGAGGAAGCATTCATAAACTAGAGCAATGATGTGTGTTTTTAAGACCCCAGACGCTATATCTTTTGATAGCTGGGCACCATCCACTTTCTTCACCACATTTGCTTATGCACCCAATTTGCCATCTGTGACTGTGTCGGGAAAGTGAGTATCAAAGAGTGCCAGGTTATTAGAACAAAGTGTTCTTGTGTTTAGGGAGGCGTTAAGTAGAGGCCTAAAGTCTGTCTGCTATCTTAATACTTAACATATAAATATATGTACATTGACCTATATCCCTTTCATTATAAATGAATATATTTGTATATATACATGCCTATAGCTATACCTCTATAAATAATAACTTTTGCTTCCTACTTCTTGTCTCTATTTCCTTTCACCTTCCTCCTGTCCCACGATCATGCTCACCCTCCACTCAGCTCTCAGTAATTCCTCATGGATACCTTGCACTTGATCAAACCCCACCAGACCTTCTCCCCATCAATTTTAGACCTCTTGTTGTTCTCTGATCCCTGAGTTTGTTGGCTCCCCCTCCTGCCCTCTCCCATGCCCCACTCCCTGTCCCCACCCTTGACTGGTCCCATTGTTTTCTCCTTGGGATTGTTTGTCCTGCATATCTTATATAGATAGACATGGTGGAAAG